TTTACACGACTTTCTTGGACCAAGTTGGCCTCCATTGTTTCTATCAGTCTTTTCGGCCTTCCTCTTTTCCGTTGTACCACCGGGGGCGCTTCCTCCGATGACACTGTCTCTTCTCTTTCCTTTTCGAATTTTAAAAACCACTCGTCTAATTTAATATCTACAGTCACATTTTCCCAGTTTTTAATTGAATTTTTACCAAAAACGTCTCCATACACAAAACGCTCGTTAAATCTGACGTCCCGACTTTCATAAAACTTTCCTTTGTCTGGACAAAGCAGACGATACCCTGTTGGCGTGTATCCTACCATAACTGCTCGTTTCCCTTTTGCATGGAATTTAGTTTCAGTGTTTCTTTGAACTCTCTAATACGCGATCCAGCCGAATCTTTTCATCTGACTTACGTCTGTCCTTTTATTCGGAGCCAGCTTCATTAAAGGGATTTCCATGTTATTTGAGCAATGTGGAGTACGATTGTACGCAAATACAGCTGCGTTTAGTGCCAAGTCCAACATGTTTTCCGAGAGTCCCGAATCACATGTCAGAGCTCGGACTTTCATTTGAATTGTTTTGTTCAGCCTTTCTGACGTACCATTATGTTCAGGGGTATCCGGACAACTCAGTTGGAGTTCAGCTGCAAGGTCATTTAATATTTTTCGCACGAAGCCTCCCTGATATTGAAATATTACTGTACCGTCAAAAAAAAGTGTTAAGTTAAAAAAATGCACTAAAAAAGTTGAACCATCAGTGCTAAGTACTTCTAAAGATTCAAGTTCTTCTTTTTGTTTATATGTCACGTTTTTAGAGAAAATAAGACTATTTTCACATTCGTATGCTTATTATTTTTTAATGTAAGAAGACTTCATATTTTTTAGTAGCTTTTTTAAGGTGGCTCATCACGAAATTAAAACATTAAATGGAGGTTTTCTTACTTCTTCTATTAGAACTTTAAAAGAAAACAAACTGATTTTTGATTATTTAAGAGCAATTTTGAACGATCTATCTGTCAATCTATCTGAAAAAAACAGAGTTAAAAGTGAAAAATTTCGACTAGTTGTTGCTTAAAAACCTTACTTTGTATTAGGCAAGTGTATGAGATTAAGGAGGTGTGGTCATTTTGAGGAGATTTATTCACTTTCTAAAAGAAATACATGTTGTACTTTAACATGTTTAAAGTACATATGACTTTTTTCAATATTTTTCATCAGCCAAATTTTCAAGAAAAAGATTCTGGAAAGTGCATTTCTTAACATAGCTATTACGGTTGAGAGCGATTATTCAGCCTTTGTTGCACAAATTTTGAGGCTAGTGATTTATTTATGATGAAGAGGTGTGAGCAAAGGGGGTGTGCGAAATAAAAACGAGTATTTTCAAGTAAGACAAAAAGTTTAATTAATTAGACTGCTGACCGACGTATAACACAACTGACTTGATACAGTTTACAGACTTTACAGACTTACTACTGACTACTGACCAAACGAACAAAGACAATAAAGCTAGAGCCGACGAGAGGTGTAGAAGGCACGGTGGCTTACACTGTACTGACTATAGGGCCCGTATGTATACTACCTTCTTTCTTGAGACAAAATTAAAACGAAATTTCATTTAAGTTTATTCAGTAGATTTTCATAGACTTCATAAGTTTTAGTGATCTATTAATTATTTTATGTAACTGGAAAATTATTTTGATTTTAATTTTTTGAGTTTAATGACAACAACAATTACAAACAAAGTTAGAAATAAAGTGTCTTGTATATAACAAATATAGTTTTTTAAGTTGAAATAGTACCAACAAGGAAGTTAGAACTTTTTTTTACTATTGTGATTAACCAAATATTGGTAAGTTTTACAACTATAACCTGTTATTTATTAAAAAATAGCTTACATTGAAAATCAAATGGTCGAGATAATAATGGTTTAAAAAGTAATTTCCTACTGCCTGAAATACTAAAAATAAATGTTACTATTAATATAAAAAAATTATAAATA